AGAAGAAGCTGTCAGCCAGGCTGCGGCGTGTCTTCCTCTACTTGTGCGAGTCCATGGCAGCACGTCGGCTACGAGAGGAAGGGGACACGCATCTGGGGTGCAGGGTAAGGTCTGATTGCTCTGGTGTGAACCTCCTTGGTCCAACCGTGGCCCCAAACGAAGGCGATCGGCTGATGCTGTGGCCGGAGAAAGGACGGGCGCGGCCGCAGCGGGCAGGGGCTGTTTTGTGGGAGGGCAATCGGACACTGCTACAAGGGACTTTCCTAAAACCACGTCGCGTGGGAGGAATTAAATCCCACTTCTGTGGAAGGAAGGTGTCACGTATGGGGTGTCCTGTTTTGGAAGCGTCTTGCGGGCAGCGGGTTTTACGTGGTGCCCTTCTGTATTTGAATATGACGCAGGTGGCAAGCGAATAAATGCAGGTGGCATCTAAATAACGAGATCGCGTTGGTGGGGACGTGTCTAGGTGCCGGCCGGGGTCTCGTCCCATCCCGCAGGACTAAGCTCTCCTAGAGCTGGATGCTGCAGCCCTGGGTGGGGAGCTGTCTGCATACCGGTTCCTCCTCGCGGCCGGAGATGCCGGGAACTTGTGATCCGGGCGGCATCTGCCCCAGCTCCCGCAGAAGCCGTTCTGCTCGGTGCCGACTCTTTCCTAACCGTAGCTACGAGGGGGTGGGTTCCCTCTTCGGGTAACCTCCTGGTTATGTCTCTTGGGTAAGAGGTGGCAGCGGAGCGATTCAGCGCTCCGCTCTGGGGCTTGCGTAACTCGTGTGCAACGGCTCACACTCACCGTGCATCACCGAGGCAGAGAGATCTGGGGCGGGGGGGGACGGGGACGAACGATGACGGGTGGGCCGCCCCCCGCTGCGTTTTCAGGCGGCGGGTGAAAGTTGTTGCGACAGCTGGCTGCTCGTCTCGCAGCCCACGGAGGGCAGGCGCGGAGCATCTGGTTTCTCTTGTCGGCTTTCCTCCCCCCCCCCCCGCCTCGCGTGAGAGCGTATTTCAGGAGACCCAGAGGCGAGGGCTGCCGTGTTGCAGTTTCCCCCGTCGCCCTCTTTGCCCACTCCAGTGTGGTGGCAAACATGGGGTGCCCGGCCCTGCACGGGGGCACCCCCCCCCCCGCTATCCGCCAACCCCCTGTGGGGTGGGGATGAGAGGCAGTGGGGTTACTTTAGAGCAGTTTTGCGAAGGTGGGGATTTAAAAACATAACCCCAAAATGAGAGAAATGCAAGTGGAACCGCTTGTTAAAATAAATACATCGACCTACAACTTACCGCTGAGTGTTAATACAGCGGTTGCGGAAAGCATCCCTCTGATTTGGGCTGTCCGTGTTAAATTTGGTCGCTGAAGTTGTACCTGCTGTGGAGGAGGACAACTGAAGAACCGGGTAAAAATGGAGTTGGACTAGCTGATTGTTGTAGGTCCCTTCTGGTTGAACTATTCTAGTCTAAAAATGAAAAGTACCTTTTTTTTTTTTTGAACAAGACCTGCGTGCCGGTGTTCGGCTGACAGCCGGCGAGGACAGCTTGTGCCCCTAGGGTTGGGAGAGGGGAGGACGGTTAAACCAGGGCGTGAGGAACGTAAATGACAAGGGGAGCAAAAGTCCGGGGAGATAAGGAAGGTCAGAGACTCTCAAAGGCTTTAAAAACGGAGCTTCTCAGCAGTGACCTGCAGAGGCAGATGCGATGGCTGGGGAGTGGGTTTCTTCTCACAGCCGAGAGGCCTCGGTGTGACTTCAGCTGAAGGACCGATGTGGCAGGGTAGTCACCGGTGCCACTCCTGCCTGCTTCCACCTTCATTTTGTTTGCCGAATCAGCTGCAACCCAAGTACGACTTTCTTATCTGTGGTGTTTAACGGCAGTATCAGTGTAAACCTCACATGTGTAAGTGACTTTTGGCTGCTAATAAATGGAAACGGGGTGTAAAAGTGATGAAAAAAACAATACCTGGAACCCTTTATCTGTATATCTAAAAGTAGTTTCCTCATTGCCAGGAATACATGCTGTCTGCCCAAGGCGTCGGGACCTGCTGACGTGACTTCTGAGCTCTGATCTTCCCGGTCAGTGGGACACTGGTGAGTGACTCTCCCGGCTCAAACAAAAGCCCTGTGCGCGTTCACAGTGCCCAGAAGTTTTTGGTGGAAGCCCTGGTGTGCCGGGTGAGGCGAGTTAGGTTGAAAAGGGCGTTCTTAACGCGATGCCTTCCTTCTCTCTCTCTCTCTTGAAAAGTCTGTGCCTTTTCCTAGGGGTTTGCACACCAGAAACCTGCGTTCTCCTTTGCTACGGACCTTTCTGTCCCCACTGCTGCAAGCTGGATGCCCGGCTCCCATAGGTGCCATTTCAATTTCTCAATGCCAGGCTGCAACGCCCAACACCTTCTGCTTTATCGGTGCTCCCACTCCTCCACCTTGCTTGGGCAAGAAGCCTCCCACGATCGGCTAGCGCGATGGGTGAGGTGACTGCTGGGGCTGGGGGGGGGAACCTGACGGTTCCCTTGCCCACTGGGCAGGCTGGCGTCCCCGTGCCATCTGTCACCCGCTGCCAGGCGAGGGACGTGGCTTTGGGAGCTGCGTGTGTCGCATCAGGTCTGCAAAGGCTTCGCTTCTCTCCCCCGCCGCAGGGACGTGGGTAGTGCTGACATGGGGGGGTTCCTTTATAAATAAGAACTCGTAGCTCCATAAATACCCCTGTTTAACAGAATGCAGATAAGATACAAGCGTGGTCTATATTTAGACTTGCTTAGTTTTGTGGAACATGCGGCGTCCTTGATCAGACCTGCGAGCGTTAGCTCACCTCTGTGTCCCCGGAGGGATGGCGAGTACCGGCTGCCACGTGGAGAGCTTGAACACGGCGCCCTGGGAAAGGCGGGCTGAGACACGTCTTTCATCGATCCTCGTCCTCCCAAGGCCCTTGTGCCCTCTTAGGCAGGACACTTTTTTTTTAGCTTGGTGGTGTATTCACCGGGTAAAGGGATTTTTATTTCCGTAGCCCGGCTTACGCCGAATGTGGAGATGGTGCTGCCTAGTTCCTAATCCTGAACTTAAATATCTCTAATTTTGGGGGCCCTCCCCTAAGGGGGAGAGCCCTTCTCAACCCAGTAGCCCTGGCACATTGCTTTCCTCCAGCCTTTCGTCCTGGGATCGGGGTGCAGGAAGTTTTTTACCTGTCTGTGCCTGATAACTGGAGTTTCAAGTTGTGCTCTCGCTGGCACGCTCGAAAGAGGCGATTGTTTTCCGAGCGGCTCTGCTTCGTGCTCAGACGTTCGAGTAATCCTGTGGTCTGGTCAGTGTTGGACAGAGGAGGAGAAACCTGTTTTTTTCTGTGCTCTGGCTGCTGCCCTGGGTGGCCTCCCACACTCTTTTCCTTGTTGACACCACACGTTATTGGGAGAGGACGCAAAACCTGGTGTGGTTGGGCTGCCTGATGCTCTTGAAATAGAAACTATCACTCACCGTAGCCGGGTAGGAGACTCTGTACCAGAACCGTTGCACATCCACGGGGCTACTGCCCTGCAAGAAACCCTTCCTTCTGTTTATTTTGCTTGTCATGGGCGACAGAATTTCAAACTAGTGAAGTATGTTGGGACAATACGTCTGTGACCGTGGTTGTGTGATCTTTGCTAAAAAAAACTTAGCCGGGAAAAGGATGAGGTGGCATCTGAGGCAACGCACCGGCAGCACTGGGTGCCTAAACCCATGGGTAATGTGTCGACCGACTCATAGGAGGGGTGATGCCGAACTTTCGGCAGGTCGGGGACAGTGCTTAGTGGGCTCCTCCGCTCGCAGACGCTGCGGTCACAAGCACAGGAAAATGGAATTTCTGTTTCTTTTTTTTTTTTCTGCAGCCCAAACGTACCTGGCCAGAGCGCTTTCTGCTCCAGGGCAAGCTGAACTGAAAATGGCTGACGTGGGGGGGGAAAATGGGATTGCTACAGCTCAGCTCTGGGAAGGAGAAAAGCAGAATTACCCGCAGATTTCTTGGTAGAGGGGAACAATTTTAACGCCGCTCACCCACTCACTTCCTTAAGTAGCAGTGAAATTGCTGGAGAAGGAACTGCCTGTCGAGGGCAGGGCATGAGACTGCCTTGGCATCACGTGCCGTGGCTGTGCTTAGCTCTGAATTTACCTGTTGGCTTGTCCAGACAGGCAAGAGAAGCGGAGACGTAGGAGCCGGCTCCTTCTAGTCATGTTCCCTGGGCACCCGCTGCAGGTAAATAGCCGGCCTGGGCCGGGAGAGCAGCGATAGGCTCTAATTCTGACCCAAACTTCACTTTGAGGGGGGAAAAATCGCAATTAATGCGAAGGTTTAACGGTCACTGGGTTTGTTTTATCTTTCGTCTCCTTGGTGAGAGATGAAATGGGGACGTCCTCTTTTTGTCAGACTTCTGTTTTGCTTCTTGCTCTTTCCCCCCCCCTTCTGACTTGGTGCTCTTGTCTCTCTTAACCTGTAGCTGCTTCATTTCTAACTGTCCTTTAATCAGCTGATGGAGATCTGCTGAGAAATCACTGCTCTGCCTGTGGCTCTTAGGGAAACTGAAGTTCGGGAATGCTTGGGCTGGAGAGAGGTGCGGGGGCACGGGCTGGACGTCGGCATGGGTGGAAGGTGGGGAGCAAGAAAGCAAAGACTAAATGTAAGTAACGAACAAGGAGACATCGCGATGACAAGCTGAGCTTCTGGAGCTCGCGGGCAAGGCAGAGATCCTTTCTGAGGAGATGGTGAGAGGTAGTCTGGTCCCGGGGACGTTCGCTTGTAGCTCTTACCCTCTTGTATCTGCACGCATGCAAATACTCCTGGCTGTGGAATGGCTTCAGAGATGATGTGGCTCAGTGTTTTTTTTCCTCTCCCATAAATTGGAAACGTCCCACTGATGCTCCAGCTCTGTCTCTTCAGTGCAAGCAGGTCCGGGGATACACTGATTTCTTTTTTTTTTTTTTGGGTCCCATCTTACCCAAAAGCTGGCAGCTCCCGCGGTCGTATTGTAACGTCCCCCTTGAACGCGGTGATGAGACTTTCAGTCCTGTTATGCTGTATGACGGTTGGACTCGATGATCTTAGAGGTCTTTTCCAACCTCAATGATTCTAGGATTCTATGTTGGGAGCTAAATTTTTTTCTTTCCTCAACAATAAGACTCCTGTAATGCCACTTACTGACTGCTGTAATGCCAAATTCCTGGGAAACGCGCTCGGTGGTGAAGCTGGATCTCTTTTAAACCGGTGGGGAAGCCTGCTGTGGTTATCTACGTCTTGTAACAAGGGCTGGTCAAGGCTTGTGTTTCTATGGTGTTGACTTAGGGTGACTAATCCATCACGAAGCAGCTCTTCTGTCGCTTGCCCCTTCTCCGAATGCAGCATTCTCCATGTCAGTGTCTTTCCCCACCCTGATAAACGAAATGTCTTACAACTATTTAGGAAATAAGGTAGCCAGGGTAGAAATTCCGGAATCGGAGCAGCTCAACAAGCCTAGATAGATGCAAGGGGACTTAAAAGTTTTGTCCTCTTTCATGAGAGGGTTTTGCTCGCCACGAGGTAGACTTGTGAGCGTAGGTGGGTATTTTAGACCTCTTACAGCAAGCATCTAACGTAATCTGCTCCCAGCAGAGGTTGACCAAAGCTGCCAGGTCTCTGCTTCTGGGAATGACCTCAGATGTTGTCCTCTATCTCCTGGAATCTTAGCAAATTAGTTTATTATTTCCAAAGGCCGCTGGAGCAGATCGGCGGCCTCAGAAGGGCCCTATCTCTTCCACATACGTTATGACTTTGTGAATCCCAAGACCTTGAATTCCGGACTCTTCCTGCGGAGCTCCGGGTTGGTGCCTTGCAGTCTCGATACGAGTGCCACCGGAGTGGCTGGCCTGGCTTAATGCCCTTATTTCAAGCGAGGCTGGGGAATTGAAAAGAAAAGGAGGCTGAGGGGAGACCTCGTCGCTCTCTACAACCACCTGAAAGGAGGTTGTAGCGAGGTGGGGTCAGTCTCTTCTCCCAAGGAACAAGCGACAGG